TGTAAATTATTGACATTAATTAATACTTAATTAATACTTAATTATATTTGTTAGTTAATAAAAGTATGAATATCTATAAAATATAATTTAGTTCTCTGTAAATAAGTGTATAAATAGAATAATTATTATTCATTAAAATAGGTTATGTATCATTTAAAAAATAATGTTAATGAATATATACGCATAATATTAAAACAATTCTAAAAGCAAATCGTTCTTATCTCTTGCCGTAATAATTAAATACCTATTTCTTGTTAGAAAAATGAGTTTATTTCAGAGTTTAACAATATATAATACAATTAATGATTACAATCGACGTATATAATTAGAAGTTGTATTTAATAATTCAGTTTCTATGCAACTGGAGTATAATCACAGTTAATTAGGAATCAATCAATGTTCAACTTCGTTTTATTCAGTAAGTGATTAAACGTGATTATACAAAACTTCAAAAGAATTTCAAATTTTCGCGGGTGGTTGTATCGATTCCGTTCGTTAAATGAACAGCAACTTCCGGTCAGAGACAACAATGACTTCCGGCCGCTGATGCACGGTTTCACCGTTTGTATTCACTGGGTTCGGTTTCGGTGCGTCGTGTGATGTCATTTTGTGCGATCAGTGGTGTGGTGACGTTCAAAAGATAATTCGGGTACATAGTCGGTTCGCGATCCTCGTGTATTCTTCGTAGTAATTGATACAGAAAAGAGAAAGATAAGAAAAATGTCAGAGATTGACGCGAAAGTGAACATGTCGCTTGGTAAGTGGCCAGAATCTCGAAAATCTAGCGGTTTTGCCGATAATCCTGGGTGAGCGTTCGGCTACCGTTTCTTCTTTTGCACGAATTCAATATGGCGACGGAAAAAATCGTAAGCGTAGATATACTCACCAATTTATTTTCGTTCCATTTACGCCCAACGATAGATAACAACTCCAAAAACAGAGTGCGTCTTAATGACGAGGCTTAATTAATTCAGAAATTAATTCTTAACCACATTTAATCGTTGTCGATAAAAGAGACGTATGTGGGATCTTTCGATTACTGGAGGAAAAAAATGTCCTTGGAAATTTACGATACGTTTGGCAACGTTAATGGTGAGATACACATTCCTATTCGGCAAAAAAAGATAAAAAATAGCATGAAGATAATGGGACCATTCAATACAACCATGACACTAGATACATTCTCGTGAATTCAGCGAATAATAGTGAAAAATGACAAAATAGCCGCCGTAAAGGATTACTCTGATTCACGTAAGATTATAGTGGAAATTGGAAAATTGACGAACATGAACCCGGGACACTACATATTTTGGACATTGCCGCAACCGAGGCCGTGACTCACGTTTCACAGAAAAGAAGTCAACTTTCTCGTTGCGTGGGATACGCGCGTTTGCGTAACTTTCGTTATATTTTTATCTCTGCTATCATGTTCCTCGAGTTTCTCTTCCTTCATGCAATGAACCTGAAATTGTGCACCATCCACGAGACAAGAGACTGATTATTTCATCTTTGGTGTATAATGTAATCTATGCCAACAACTGTATGCAAAAGGTTCTGTTCACTGTTAAATTAAATTGTTTAATTTGTTTATGAATGAGAGTATACAAATATATTTATACAATGAGCGTCTATCACCCAGGATGATTACATTTTATGCTTAAACATGTTCAGTTCGAAAATATATTCATGATAACAGGATATTCCATGAAAATGGTTTGTTATATGTGTATTCCAATGATAAAGAACAGATGAAATCTAGAATAAGCTGATAATGGCTGTAACAATTTCGAGGAAATGAGAACTCTGAATAATTCTGTGTAAACTATTTGTTTGCACAGATACAATGTTTGTGGAAATTTTATATTAGCAGAGGAAACATAAACGGTCACTATGAATCCAATTTAAAGAGGAAGAAGTTCTAATTCAAGATCCTTATTAATATCAGAAAATTAAAATCACTGTTGTTCATGCAATTAAATAATTATAAAATCAATGAAAAGATATGAAACCAATATTTGCAAACATACATTATGCAAACATTCATACAATTTTTCTGGATTCCTTTCATTCAAAGAATAATTAATTACATATCTTTAAAAGTGCACGAACTGAGCCAAAAGTTATGAATAATATAAAAAACAAAAAAAATAGTTTCTTAAACATTATAAGGAAGAAGACAAGAACTTGATTGGGCCAAGTTAGAAATTGAAGGAAGTGTGATAATACAGAAGATTAGTTATCTTATATTAAAAAATTGATGGAGGAGACATTCTATAAACTGTTCAGACATAAAAAGGAAGAATCATACAAAAACAATAGTCACAAAAATATTGGTGAAAGAAAAAGTAATTATACGACTGGATCCACTCCTTGGAATAACAGTAACAATGGACATTTAATAATATCATTAAAGGAGCAAGAAGACGGACTGGTAATGAAGGAAACAATATATTTATAAAATACTAGTAGAACCTCAAAAATATCAGAAAGGAGAAGAAGAAGGAACATTGTAAAAATGATAAGAAGAATCATTGATCATCGTATTAAACATCAGCCTCTGAATGCTTCTTGGATACTACATACAATGCTTGGATGATACTACATATGATGAAAAAACTACTTGGATGAAACTACATAAAAACTATAATAATGATCTTAAACTCATATGCTTTGTGAACTAAAAATATAACATTCTCTATATATTTTATTATAGCATTGAAAGATACAAGAAAATATTAGTTTAAATAGTAGTACACTTCACAATTAGGAGGGTTCTAATGTGTTAACAGTCATTTTATGATTTTTTCATTATAATAATGTGTTTGATTTTTTGCTACTATTTATATTTTTATTTACTATTAATATTACAGTTAAACTATTAGTAGAAACTTCTAAATTATTGTTGTGTGGTTTAGAAAACATTGAACAATGATTCATAGCACAGGACAATTGAAAGTTATCATTTTAATATATTGAATTAAAAACTTTATCTATATACTTGCATCCAATGAAAAATGATTCAAATATACTTATATGTATTGGAAGAAAATCAGGGAAATGTTTAAAGAAAAATTTATGTGAAAACAGACCAGTTTCCTTAATGGAATTAATACACTGAATTTTTCATCTCAAATTATCCTTCAGTGTTACCTGTACAGGAGGGAATTTTTCACATATTCCAGATTACAGTTTAAACCAAACAAATTATCTTCCTGAACTAAGGCAGTACGTTCACTAAACCTTGTGAATTTTCTTCCTTTTAAGATGAAATCATAAAGATGGAGAAAAAGGAGAAAAAGAAAAAGGCTGGGACCGCCAATGGCAAAGCAGGTGCGAAACGTACACAAGGAAGTACAAGAGGACGGAGTGGACTGAGAGGTAGAGGTGCAAGAGTTAAACGTAATATTGGAACTACTAAAAAAGAACAGCCATGGCAGGCTGGACAGAATAATAACAATGTGCGTGGAGGTTTTGTGAGAAAACGGTACAAGAAAAACAATGGTCTTACCAGATCACGAAGCAATTTAACATTGAATCAAAAGTCTAATACGCGAGGGGCTTTCAATGTTCGCCGTGGTCGAGGCAATAGATTTGGCCTGACTCGTAGTAGAAGTCGTACAAATTTGACTTTTACTCAAGGAGGATTTTTCACCAATAACAAAACACCGTTGAAAAGGACAAATAGTCTGCCGAATTTACGAGACCCAACTTCGGTCCATAATCGGCTGGGATATCAAAGTCCTGCTCAAATTGCTTATCGAAATCGTGTCAAAAGAGCAAAACAATTATTGTTACAAAGACAAAATCAAAGATTATCTTTGCAAAATCAGTTCAGAGTAAGTATTTTATTCTGCACAAATACAAGTATATACAATACATTGTCACATAGAAACTAACATAATTATTTTGTTGTAGGTACCACAAGCAGGGAAGTCCTTATTGTCGTTGCAACAAAGAAGCGCCATAGAGAGAAGACAACAGATTTTAACATCTCAACGTCGTTTTACTACTGGCGGATTGCGATCAGATCAAATTGCCAGAGCACAGAGGCGTGCACAATATGAGCAGAAATTGATGAGACTAAAGTATGATTATAGTACTTTTCACATTATCATTTGAGTAGTTTGTAAGAAATTTTACATGCGATTTTTTGGTATTTTTTTAAAGAGGTTTTTTAAAGAGTTTAATATGATAAAACAATATTTGTAGTTCTCCACGATTAAGTACTAATTCAAATGTGAACTCCATGTGTACGTTGGGAAATGAATATACTCCTAGCACGCATCAACGTCCGCTAGCTCTTGCACCGAGCCGAAACGAAAGCGCTGTAAACAGTTTGCGCCAGTTACCCAGAGGAACTGGACAGGAATTTAGACAGGGTGTACAAAATTCAAATGTGGTATGTTTAAATTACAAGCTGTGAGGACTATTGAAGTAGTTATTGCGATAAGAAAGCAGCTTTAATTTTAGGTAATTTGAGTAAATTAACATGAAGTGTTTAATGAACTTGATGGATTTCAGGTCGTTCAGATACATCGTTTTATTCGACAACCTACACGTAACATCCCGTCATTGGATACCGGAGCAGACGTCGATGATCGTACCTTCAGTGAACTCATGTACAGCATATCTTCGAACCTGGGCGTCACGAGAAGAACGTTAAACGATAGATTTAGTTCTTGAATTTAACGAAAGAATTTGTTTTGTATTTAGAGTATAAGACTGTTGAGGCCAGAGATGAAAGTTTTATGCTTAAAACATAGATACAACAATTTTACAAATTGTATTAATATTTAAGTTGTGCCACGTGCAAAAGAAAGAAATCTAATTTCCTCGCACGTACTTTTGAATTTTTTCTTTCATATTTCTGATAATATGAACGTTTATTTTTAAGCCG